CTCCAAAGCAGAGAGTGGCGCTCAGATCGGTCCATTTCCGGAGATACCGCAGATTCCGTCTCTCTAGATGGTGATCGTCACTCAGAGCCCAGCCTTGCCTTGAGCGTCGCCTCCGCAGTTGGTCATCTACAAAGCTCGAGCTCTTTGCGGGACGAGGACTCCTCCTATTCGCATGTGGAGAGCTTGAGCGCAGCGGAATTAGGACACCGGCGCAATAGATCGCACCAGCTTACGACCAAATCATCACAGGAGCCGTTTCAATTCTCCAAAGATGTTTTGCTGAGGAAGCGACGGAGTGACATTTACCAGGCTCCTGTCGACGACCGAGTGCCACCGGAGAGCAAGAGCAAGTCCACCGACTCCCTAAATCTTCGACCCGAGCCGCAATCAGAGACAACAACAGCATGCACGATTGAAACAGCCACCACTGACACACCATCCGGTGGACTAACCACATCGCCACCCTCGGCGGCCACCATTTCCTCCTCCTCGGTCGACGACTACACCAGTGGAATGTCTCAGAGTGCTTCTCATCCGAGTATCCCCTCGGTCATTTCCGGTGCATCATCGCTTTCCGGTGATGGGTCCGTCAAGGACAAGGAATGTGAGCAGGCGGTCGCAGTCCCTTCCATCCTTCGCACGGGCGAAACGGTCAAGGCTAGACTCGTGCGGCCCCAACGGTCGCACGAGGACGATGAGTCGCGGTACTACTGTGATGATGAAAATGATTCGGAGGACGACTCTGAAGACGAGGTTCTCGTCATTGGCAGAAAGAAGCCAAGTCCGCAGAAGCCAGTGATGTGTGGTACTCAGGCTTCCAAGCCCAAGGCCTGAGCTAAACATATAGGAAATTCGCCTGACGCGGCCAACGAATCTTTCGAGTCAAAGTTTGCCGCCTGAAGCCCCAAAAAAAGAGAAGAAGAAAAGTCTTCCTATTTTGAGATCTCTAATACCTTGCTAAGGGCGCAGAAACCATTACCCTACTTCACATTTCTGTTATTGTTCTTTGAGCAGGCCCTGACGTGATGTCCAGTGTCTTGCTCCTTGCTGGGTCTCGTTTCTTTAATGTATATCAATTTTATCGCAAGGCCTTTTTCCTTCCTGTGTGTTGCACTTTTGCGGGTCCCTTCGACAGGCCATTCGATTGACTGCATTTGCTGTTGGCATACATGATACACTGCTTGTACATATATTCTCATGGGCGGCACGTCTATATTCGCCTTTTTCTTTACTTGCCTTTGCTCCCTTCTTCCTTTCTTATTGCGCACCCCGGCGTTCTTCGATTCGACCCTCTGCGATTATATATTGGGATTTTTTCTATGGCATGGGGTGTTTGAGATACAAACTCATCTGTCGTTGTACGTAATGTTGAAACACGAGGGAGGATCTGGGGATGCAAAGGTTGGGATATACCGAGCCAGAGTCCTTTTGAGGAAGCTCGCATGATGCATGAATGTCTTTTCCTTTTTGCTTTTTTCTTTATTTCACTTTGCGTGCTGTTGTGATGTGATGATGGATGATGATGACCTAAATTGGGAGACCTGGAACATCCCAGATGGCTTAGTATTTGACCCCCAGTTGGGATGAAGCAGTAACAATTGATGGATGCTTGGTTCTTATGAAATATCTACTCCCTACCTTTCGAGCTAACAATCATCTTGGGCTGGACTGAGGCTAGATCAGCTCCGGTGGAGGATGCTAGTCATGACTCCGCACATGGCGGTTTGAAATTCCCGGATCTGCGGTACTCGGGGTATCACCGTCCAGGAACCCACCACTTAGTCTTTTTCAAGGAAGTTCTTCAACTGCTCCTCCACCAATAGTGGGTGTTGCCTCAATGTACCTGAGCACCATTATTCCATGCCATTTACCCGGGCCATGAAAAGAAGCGGGCCACCGTGCCATCMTGCTGGGTCATGTGTCCTCGGTTGAGCCTGCTGGATGATGGTGCCGCAAGACCATCACCGGTTTCTGCTGAGACCGCTGTTGTCTCGGAGTTATTGCTCCCTTGTGTCCCAAGTTTGATTTGATGGATTAATGGGTGGTCCACCCATTGATTTCGTAGTAATGGCGGGGGGGAAGTAGGAGACGAGTATATATATGTGCTATGAGACACTCGTTTTACCTCGTTCTACAGTGCTCAGGTCTTGTTTTGACGTCCAGTGATCTGGATTCTGAAAGTTGCTCGGGCAAGATGATGCTCCTACCCCTTTTTGTTCTCCTCTTTCACTCCCTTGCTACTGCGTCGCTTACTTACCGCGGCGCTGATATTTCCTCCCTGCTGATTGAGGAGAAGGCCGGGATCAAGTACAAGAATCTGAACGGCCAGACGCAGCCGCTTGAGAATATTCTCAAAGCTAACGGTGTGAATTCCATTCGCCAGCGGGTGTGGGTGAACCCCAGCGATGGATCTTACGATCTGGACTATAACCTGCAGTTGGCGAAGAGGGTGAAGGCCGCGGGGATGAGCATCTACCTGGACTTGCACTTCAGTGATACTTGGGCGGACCCGAGTCATCAGGTACGTGGAATGTGAACGTGCCAGCAGTGCGCACTATGGCTGAGACGAGACAAATGTAGACCACACCCAGTGGGTGGTCGACCACCGACATTGGCACCCTCACCTGGCAAGTGTACAACTACACGAAGGAGGTCTGCGACACGTTCGCCAGCAACGGCATCGACGTCGCCATCGTGTCTATCGGCAACGAGATTCGCAACGGACTGCTATGGCCACTCGGCAAGACAAGTAGCTACGCCAACGTCGCCAACATCCTGCACTCGGCTGCCTGGGGCATCAAGGACTCGACTCAATCGCCCAAGCCGAAGATCATGATCCACCTCGACAACGGCTGGGACTGGTCGGCGCAGAAGTACTTCTACGACAGCGTCTTGTCGTCAGGCGGGAAACTGGCCAATTCCGACTTCGACCTCATCGGCGTCTCGTACTACCCGTTCTACAGCGCCAGCGCGACCCTGTCGGCGCTCACGACCAGCCTGAAGAACATCCACTCGACCTACGGCAAGGACGTGCTGGTCGTCGAGACGAACTGGCCCGTCTCGTGTCCGAACCCGGCGTATGCATTCCCTTCGGATCTCCAGAATATTCCTTTCTCGGCGGCCGGGCAGACGACGTTTGTGCAGCGGGTTGCGAATGTTGTGGCGGGGACCTCGGGTGGCATAGGGCTGTACTACTGGGAGCCAGCTTGGGTGCAGAATGCGGGCCTGGGCTCCAGCTGTGCGGACAACTTGATGGTGGATTGGCATACGGATCAGGCGAGGACAAGCTTGAGTGTGTTTGGGGGGATCTGATCGCTGTATATTCCTGGATGTAATTGCTATACTTGTGTACGGAGTAGTCTACGATTACTACCAGGCTACCAGGGGTCAATATTTTAGAATCCCAAGGCAGAAATAATTCCTTGAGACTTGATAGTCGAAAATGTGTCGAACTGTTGATCGCTCAGACTCGGACATGACGCTCGGTGGCTGTGCACCGCGACTAGTATCGACCAACACGTCTGGAGAGTCCACTTAGACCAAAGGGTTGACCTGTCAGAATCCTGCGAGCTAGTAGCTAAGAATCAGTTACCTCAAGGCTCACACTCTGTAATGTAGCACACAGATATAAAAAGAAAGGAAAGCTGTCAGGCTGACTTTTCGTACAGAAAGGGGAGGGATAGTCGTTTATATACTATGCTAATCTTGACACAATGAGCCGATCATGTCAGTAGCTAACACCCAACCTATCGATAATGGGGATCTGGATACTGATTTATGTGGGAAATTACAGGACAGCCTCACACCAATATCCCAAGATCGATTTTGAATATTTGTAACCGGGATGGCTGAGGGGGTCTTGCTCGATCTGTCTACATTAGTGCCGCAGCTGAGTGTTACGGGAATAGCATCAGGATAAGAACATCAGTTGAATATGTCATCCATCAACACAGTCCGTTCATATTCATGCTTCGGCGAAATGAGTCCTGATACTGGTCTCTGCATCAAGCACTCAAGATACCTACTTTCCCCTAATTTGTCTGCGTTTAGATTCCATGTAAGATTCTCCCCTTTAAACTGGTAAATACAGCCTACGGAGCACCTAGTATGTAGCCTAGTAATAGATCATACCTACTCCGTACTTAGTTCCCTATCGAGAGGGTGGTATGTTCTGCCCATGAATAGATACGCATTGTTAGGGCGCCAAAACCCCCAGAATCAGAGGAAGAGAAGCCCAACGCTCTTTTTCCCCCTCCGTGTGTCCGTCTTCTCTTTTAGTCTCATATTCTCCTTTATTAGGGGCCACAGGTCAAGACCTTATTATCGATTTTTTGATAAATATCCGCCTGAAAATATCATCATCATTGACGTCGTTGTCAGTCAAGTTTATCTGCTCCTCTTTGTCGTCGCCATAATTATAACGATAGCACGTGCCTGAGGGGGAATCATCATTATCTCTTCAGCTTCAACTTCATCATCATCATCCCTCCGTCCCTTGTCATTCTTCCTCATTTGAGTCTGATTGACGGAGATACGGCCCCAGCGTGTTAGATCCTTCGATGATCTTTTGACGTTCTCCTATATTTTCCTCGCCCAGGCACATTTCCCATACTAGAGACATGCTAGCCCCGAGAATGTGAAACAACCGCAAGACCAACCGCTGATACTTGCGCCACGAGGCTGATTCGCAAGGTGCACTCCAACTCCAAATCCCCGGATCTTGTCTGGTCCACTCCTGATCGCTGCGGATGATATCCCCTTCTGGCCCTCCTCCTTCTCTGCCGCACCCCCGTTGGTTATCATCTCTGCGCTCGTTGATCCCTCCCTAGTTCTCCCTTCACCGCCCCCTCCCTTCCCGCACATACATTCTACGGCGGCGCTTCTCTATCGACCACCCCTCCGCGCGCTCGGTCGCTTGTCCCTGTTTCCGCGGCCGTCTTCATCGCTAAGCCTCTGGGTCCAAATCTGTATCTATTCTGGGATCACGTTGCACAAACGTGATGACTTCACAGGAGATGTTCCCCGAGTTGGGGCAGTCTCCTGCACCTGGCGTTAAAAGCCGCGGTGTCAGCCCCTCACCCCATCATCATCAGCAGCCGCAGCAGCAGCAACAGCATCAACAACATCAAGGACAATTTACGGGAACAGTCACTGGCTTGGATCTTGATCCTTCGATTGCTGCAGCTAGTTCCTTCTCCAATTCGTCCTTCGATCCCAATAGCAACAACATCAACCCTTGCGCCGAATCGTATGGTTATACTGCCGCTGGCTATCTCTCAGGCACTCCTGCATCGCAGACCGACCAGAACTACGCGAATAGTCTTCAGATTGCGCAATCCTACGACACCGGTCTGGTTCCTCAGTTCAATGAGTCACACGGCTTGTCGATACAGCAGCAGTCGCAACAACCACAACACCAGCAGCCTCCCATCGATGATAACTTCTCCAACCTCTTGAACTCCAATACCACCGATTTCGACTTTAACACCGTCTACCAGGATCACAGTCCCAGTAGTAATACTGCTCCCGAGTACGACTCCTCCCTTTTGCTTGACCCTCAAGTCCACCAGCAGGCGCATCCGACCCAGATACCCTCCTCCCATTCCTCGACTTCTCCACAGATCTCCCCTCTCGAGCAACAGCAGCACTCCTCACCGGGTCCGATGTCACCCCAAGGCGCGACGACCGTGGCTTACTATACCCCTCAGCATTCCCGTCATGCTTCCTTAGACCCCGCCACGGCGGCCTTCCTCACCAGTAACGCGCATCCTGACTGGCAGGCTGTCATGGGCAATAGTGCCGCTTTCCAGGGCCATCGACGAGCTCCATCCGAGGTTTCTGAAATTTCGTCCGCCGCTCCTTCTCCGTACCTCTCACAACATGAGTCTTTCGATGGCGTAGACAACAATCCCTCTCCCCTTCTGGCGCCCCAAAACGATCCCACCTTGTATGATAATGCTCTTGGGATCGAGAACTTCACTTTGTCCGAGCAGCAGCAGCAGCAGCAGCATCAAGGGTTCAGCCCGGCGCACAGCCCGTACATCTCTCCGCGGCTGATGCCCCAACAGGGACAGGAAATGATCCCCAATGTGCCATATCTCTCTGGCCCAGCTCCGAACACGCAGTATCAGACACCTCCAAATGATATGTATGTCAATGGCTCGGAGGGCATGATGAATATGCCGCAGGGGACTCATCCATCTGTGGACATTGGCCAAGCCTCTCAAATGGCTCCGCCGTCGATCAACGTGGAATTCGCACCTCCGTCGCGGATCCCCAGCTTTGGACCTTCAAAACCGGCCAACAGCCTCGATTCCTTGAGTCCTCCACCTTCGTCGACACGTAAGTGCCCCTTGCATTCGATTCTCGTTTGTCATCAGGGAACTAATCAAAAATCGTAGGCTCTCGGGGGCGTAGCAAGTCTGATCCATATGCCCATCCTAGCACCACTCGGTTGCGCTCCTCGTCGACTTCGAGCAGCCTGGAGCCCCTTGCCCCTTCTACGCCTCGGTCACTTTCTCCATTCGACTCTTTAGGACGTCAACAGCAGAGCAATCCGAGCTCACGCGACCCGTCGCCGTCTAGATCCAACCGACGTCTGTCGACATCGTCGATCGATAGCCGCAATTACATTCTGGGCCTTGCGGATCCCCAACGGCCAGGGGCTAGCCCCAATGATTCGAAGCGTGTCCAGAAACATCCCGCAACGTTTCAGTGCACCTTGTGTCCGAAGCGCTTCACTCGGGCATACAATCTGCGGTCACATCTCCGAACCCACACGGACGAGCGGCCGTTTGTCTGCACTGTATGTGGCAAAGCCTTCGCTCGACAGCACGATCGTAAACGGCATGAAGGGCTGCACTCGGGCGAGAAGAAGTTTGTTTGTCAAGGAGAACTCTCCCGCGGCGGACAGTGGGGTTGCGGTCGCCGATTCGCTCGGGCGGACGCTTTGGGGCGTCATTTCCGTTCGGAAGCGGGGCGGATCTGTATCAAACCGCTGCTGGATGAGGAGTCGCAGGAGCGTGAGCGTTCACTCATGGACCAGCAGCAACATCATTTACAGCCACTTCCGCAGCAAGTGATGGTACCCATGGATAACCCACATGCTGGTAGTTTTGTGCTGCCTGCTGCGCTGCTGGCTCAATATCCGGCTCTCCAGACCCTGCAGTGGGATCAGATTGCCGCAACGGCGGATGATCCCAGTGACATAGGGGGCCGTAGCAGCTTCGACGCCAGCTCCGGCAACGAGTTCGGCTTCGAGGATGACGATTCGGGGATCAGCAGCGTGTCCGGTATAAATGCTGGGTACTCTGCTCCCGGTAATTTCTACTGAGTCAACCATGAGCGTCAGATACCAGGTGTCTCCATGGGAGATACCAATTATATCGACCGCTGACTGGGAAGGCTGATTACATGTTTTCTGCACTGTCTGTCTGCTATCTTGCCCGTTCTCAGGTTCTTCTTGAGATAGGCTTCGCATTCAGTCTCCGAGTTTCAGGCCCTGCTTCGCAGAAGCACAAGGAAGTGATTTGATTTGAAACTATATAGATGGATTTTGGCGTTGTGATAAAAGGTTGGATCACAAGGTTAACCAAATAACCGGCGGGTATACCTTCGTTTATACCTTTGTTTTCGCTTATTTCCCTTTTTGATTCCCTTTTTTTATCTTCTTCTGCCTTATTTTATTCCCCATTTGATCTTATATTCTTCTTCAGCCCCCCTTGGGCTGTCTACCTTCAAGGGGTGCACGGACCCCCTGTTACGTCTTCATGATGACTTTTTGAAACTCATACCCATGGATTTTCCACTTGTTCGTGTTGAGCTGTTTATTTACTGGCTCTTGTCAGGATACTCTGAACTAAGAATGGACTCGGTCTTCGATTGATTGGGCTGAATGTCGGGGTAGAAATTGAACCTTTCACCTTCGATTTAAATGCCTGGTGGGACGATCGTAGACTGAATTAGAGCTTGTCGTCGAGCCCAGAGTATGAACTATGACAACATCTATACTGATCTCGGCAGCTAAGCTTAAGCTTATACAACATTGCGAGGGGAAATAAAAATTGTCGAGTAAGGTATACACAAACACACAATCCGGAATGGAGGTTACTCCTCAACCCGGGTCTAGCAATTCATCGGCGGCGCATCTCGACCAACTTCCCAATCTCTTCGATCCATTTCTGAGAAAACTCCTCCTCGGTGAACCGCAGGGCGGACTTGCGGGCGCGCTGGCGCATCGCGACTTTCTCCTCCGCCGGCAGGGCCAGGGCGGCCTCGAACGCGGCTGCGAATTCGTCCTCGGTTGAGGCGCGGAAGCCCGTCGCCCCGTCGCCGAGGTCGATGACAATGTCCTCGCGCGGGCCGCCGGAGTCGTGGACGACGCTGATCAGGCCTGCCGCCTGGTACTCGACGACGCAGATGCCAAAGTGCTCGTTCCACATGGCGTTAACGCCGACTGAGGCGGACCGCAAATGCGACAGGATGGTGGGCCAGCTTGCGTCGCAGATGAAGGTGGTGTGGTCGCGGATGCGGAGCTCGTGGGCCAGCAGGCGGAGGTTATAGATGTGCGTTTCGTCCGGGCTGGAGTGACGGACGGAACCGATGAGGACCAGTTTGGGCTGGGGGAGAGCGGCCGAGGCAGGGTTCTTCTTGCGTTCGTTGAGGAAGCGGGCGAACGAGCGCAGGACCAGCGGGTGGTTTTTCTCAGGCCGGAATTGAGCGATATACAGGATGATGGGTTCCCGGCTGCGCTCCGAGTCCTCATCGACAGTGATGGTCGACTCGATCTCGGACACTGCCGTGGGCGGGAAGATGACGGTGGGCTCTTTGAAGGTCCTGCGCGTCCGTGCGGAGCCCCAGATGGCCCGGATATGGGCCGATGTCCAGGAAGAGTTGCACATGACAACGTCAACATGGCCTCCGACCCAACCGTAGAGACGGGCAAATGCCAGCCAGTACTTGCGCTTGACCTGGCCCTTGAACCCCTTACCTGCACCCGCATTGACCCCTTTTAGGCCGGTGCTGTCATCCAGAGATTGAAGCATGTCGGTCGAGATGGTAGGATAGTGGACGTATGCACCTGTAGGGACAGAGGGGAAAAGCAGCTTGCAGAACGCAAGGGTAAATGCGTAGCCCATGGTGTCGATGAACACATCCGGGACGAGCAGGTTGAAGGCGTCATAGGCAACCACCAGAGACCCGAGAGACTGTCCCAGAAGCGTCATGTACGGATACATGCTGCTCAGGACATATTTACGTGTAGTCAAATAGAGCAGAACAACAGTGGGCGCATGAAGTTGAATATTGAAGCGGTTCTGCAGGGGTTGGTCCTTGAGTCAGCGAGTCCTTCGTAAATAGACCGGCTAGACTCACCTCTACCCTCTCTAGCATGGCCGTCTTGTTGACCTCGTGGTCACCAGTATATATAGCACAGATTGCCTTGGGCCACCGCCGTTGCGTGGCTCTTACAGCTTCCCAAAGAACACGTTCTCCTCCTCCGCCAGCGTTACTAAGTCAACGAGGATTGGTCAGCCAATGTTGCTCACTGGTGTAGCTTCTGAAATTCCTCCTACCAGAAAGGGTGAAAGAATCCAACAATACCCTCCCAGTCTGCATCTTCTGGACATTTGGCGCCCCTATTCCCGCCTTTCTTACTGGGGCCAGCTGTCGCGGAGCTGGAACTCGAGCTATCAACCTTCTCCCAGTCCTCATCCTCTCCCCTTGGAGACGACTTGGGCCGCTTTACCAGCTGCTCCTCCTCATCCGCTCGAACTCTCGAGATCAGAAACTCCCTGCGAGACCGTGTCCTCTTTTGAATAATCCATCCGACACCACGGAGCACGAAGCGGAGAACCCCCAAGGGGAGCTGGGGGAGGAGGACGCAGGTCGCAAGGAGGGCGAGAAGTGAGAGGAATGTCTTTAACAGAAACAGCATCATGATTGACTCAAAACAAGAGACATAGTCAATGGTATTTTCTTGTAGATCGGGGAGTCGAGGACAGAAGATGATGAATGGGTGGGATGTCCGGCTGACGACTACCGACTGATCATATTCGGCTCAAAATAGCAGCTGTATTATTTAGCAGTTCCCTATCGATAGCAGCTGTCGATAACAAACACCTGATGATAACACCTGATGATAACAGTTGTACCTTAGACAGTGTATGTAATGTATGTAATGTCCTGTCCTGTTTGGTTTGATATTCCTTACCTATAAGGTAGGTGCTGTCAGGTATTGTAACTCGAAACGCCACGTGATATGCTTACTGAAGCTTTGGAGCATCGCTTTGTTTTTTCCCGAGCTTGCGGAGAGCACATGTACTGCTCCATTGTAAGTGTATATTAATCTCCTCTCATTCTCTTTCCGCGGAATAAATATTTTCTTCTAAGTCTCTCGTTCAACTGTGTTCCAATTACCTCTTTCAGCAATTGAGCTGTCCATAACGATGAGACCGCTTCGTCCTTCGCTCCGTTCGCCGCATACTTCCGGTAAACGGGTAGCCCAGCAGATACGGCATTTCCATCCCACGAGGCCATCTCCTTTTATTAATGAAGTGCTGGACGTTTCGTCGAGTTTCATTCATGCTGTTCATTCGATCAGTGGCCTCCCATGGGCCTTGTCCATCCCATTGACCGCCTTGATCGTCCGAACCTCCGTTGCGATGCCGCTGCAGATGTACACCAAAGTCCAAGCCCGCAAGGAACGAGATCTAGCCCCGCTACTTCATTCATGGAGGAAACATTTTCAAGCGCAAATCAAAAAGCGTGTTGATGCCGAGAATGATAACCCAATCCTCCCGAGAGAGGCAATCCGAGAGTTGGCGACAAAGGTCAAGGCAAAGCGGAAGGAACTGCACAAGCGATGGAACGTGCCCCGATTCTGGAAACCTGCCAGCTTCCTGCAGATACCGATATGGATCTCAGTTATGGAGAGCCTCCGAGCCATGTCTGGGAACAACAAGGGTCTTGTACCGTACCTCCTCTCCCTGGTTGAACCGTCCTCCACAGAGCCAAGCACCGCGGTTCACCTGGCGGTCGAACCGTCGCTGGCCACTGAAGGAGCTCTCTGGTTCCCCGACCTCTTGGCTGGAGACTCAACTGGCATTCTTCCAGCTGCACTCACTCTGTCAATCATACTCAACATTCGTGCTGGGTGGAAGGCTCCCTCTCTTTCTGACATGGCTGACTTACCGCGGATCGAGATTGCAAAGAACCTGACTGTGCGTGGTATCAGGGTACTGGTCCAGGCACTTGCCTTGAATATTGGCGTCTCGTCCTATCTGTACGAGATGCCTTCTGCGCTCATGATATACTGGATAAGCAGTACGAATATTGCTACTTTGCAAACTTTCTTACTGGAGAGGTACATGTTGTCAAAGCCACTCCTAGAGCCCTGGAGACAGATTCATATCGGCTATCCTCAACTAGGTGAAAAGACGTCTTCGCTGAAAAAATGATCAAGATTGCTTGTCACCGGAGCGCGGATGGCCAACCATCTATGATGAACGAAATGGAGAACACAGATGGAGCCAAGCATGCAAGAATTAGATCACCAGTGATAGGTGGAAGAAGGGCCAAAGCAGAGAAGGCCTCTCAGGGCCACACGAGTCAAAATGGCTGTCCGCTCGTGCTGATGCCTCCTTAACGAGCTTCAGGCATGTGGCGCTTGCATCCGATGACCAGGCTCAGGTCACTCTCTACTCAGGCGGCGGAGCTCCGTGCAAGTTGCTGTACGTGCCGCTTGTGTAGTCAAAGAACCGGTAGTTTGGAATTTGCCGAGGAACCCCAGTTGCTCGTCGAGTGCGAGCCCAGCCCTGACCCCATTCCTGTTCCACTGTATCGCGCGCCCTGCTGTCAAGCTCTTGAGGGCTCCTGTCGTCCACAGTAAAAAGTGGGTCAGGGTCATGTCTGAGGCCAGATAGCCATTTAAGAATGATCTCCTCACGCGTCATTGGACCGTCAGGTGCAGCAGATTCGACTGGGACCCCACCTCTGTCTTCGGATACAGTGTCAGTTTCCTCTGGGACTTGAACATTCGCGTTCTCAGTCGCTGGGTTGACTCCGGCCGGAATGTGGCATCCGTTATTCTCCTTTTCAGTGACATCGTCGTGAAGCTCAATTCCGAGTCCAGGGTTGTTGAGATCTTGGTCATTTTCGTTATCAGCTCCAGCATCTTTTTTGGCTGGAGACTGTGCGTTCTCAGAATTATCCTCTGGGGACGCAAGAGCAAGATGCTCGATTCCGGCGTTGTATGTGACCCAAAAGTTGAGGAACTCATCCTCCTCCCATCTGAGATCTTCCATGTCTGTACTGCTCTTCTACAGAATGTACCGCGAATCAGCTGAGGAACTCGGAACTCTATTAGCCGGGATCAATGACCTACCAGGTTGAACGGTTGAATGCTGCTCTGACTTCGGATGGCAAAGACACAGCCTTGAAGGAACGACCTTATGGGAATTGTCAACGGGCAAGATCACAGACCAGGACAATTAGTCAACAGAAGACACAACTGGGCACCTACGAATTTTCGAGCTAGCTGCAGTATGTGAGCAATTCCAAAACAAGGAGATTTCAACTTGCTTCTTCCAAAAAGCACTGTCAGCTTGACGACGTGTCTGGAAGAGAAAAGACTCCGAGGTTGAGAAAGAAGAGGGATAAGAATCAGGACATGAATAGGARGGGTATGAGAGAAGTGCGGCAAAAGTTCAGGAAGCAATAGTCACTGTGCTTGGAGAAACTTGCTCGCCCCTGTCCCAAACGGGTCGTGATTGACGCCGTCTGAGACGACACCATCCTCTATATGATGTCGTTGCAGAGTAGTATAGTGCTCTCTCCCCCTTCTATCTACTAGAAGTGGAAGTCTAAATTCACTATACTTACCTTCCTACCCCCTTGAGAACCTTAGCCATCTCTATCCAAGATCAGTCTGCATACACTAATAGTAGACGCCTATCAGCATTACATCCAACTGAAAACTTTAAAGAGAGGTCCCCTAAGCAAAGGCCTAGAGGCCAGCACCTTAAACATAGTCCTTAAACTCTCTTCCTGAGCAAAGATAGAGGATACCTTGACTTCCTCAGATCTATACTCACTGAGGTGCTTCAGGGCATGACTCCTCACGTGGCTTCACTGCTCTCCAGACCCACGTGGGTCCACGTGACTCATAGTAAATAGCCTCGCTGCCACGCTCAGATGACTTCACGAGTGAATTTTTTTTTGGATTCTTATTTTCTGTCTATTTATTTTTCTTAACCTATCGATGGATCTTCTTAGTGGAATGGTTTTCCCTGCGCGTGGGTCCACGTGACTCATAGTAAATAGCCTCGCTGCCACGCTCAGATGACTTCACGAGTGAATTTTTTTTTGGATTCTTATTTTCTGTCTATTTATTTTTCTTAACCTATCGATGGATCTTCTTAGTGGAATGGTTTTCCCTGCGCGTTAGGATTTATATTCAGCCTTGATCAAAGGTACTTGGAGTAGGGTACTCCTAGACCAGAATCATATCCTTCATATTGCAAATCTACCATGCTAAGCAATTTATGAGTATTGCCGCTGCAGTAGTGTCATCAACGCCAGAACCCAAGAACCACGCCAGCATATGCACTGGAAAATAACTCAGTCCAACCCAAGAGAGCCCGTGGAGAATTTCATCCGATGGTATCCTCCCCAGAAACAGACAGTAGAAAGTGAAGACCATGTAGAAGAAAACGGCGTCCCTGCGCTAGAGGAAAATGTAAATTGGATGCCATTGGTTCGATAAGATATCGATGCTATCATAGCTTGGCCTTCTGGTTTTCCTCAGACGCGCTGGCTTCCTGGTTGACAGTGATGGTGCGGTTGTCAGGACCGTCGCCGAAGAAGATGACCTCCACGGTAATGTCGTCGCTGGCAAACTTGTGAGTTCATTTTCAAAGAGGGGGACGACAGAGCAAAGTGCAAGAGATAGAGGAGTATTACTTACCGGTATCTGCGGGAGTACGGACTTGGGAGTGTGAGCAAAGCGCAAACCATGTCCCTGTCCTTGCCACCCATCGCGTTGCGCACGAGATGAGTTGCCGCGTTCTTGTCTTCTACGACAAAACGACTTGCAACGCCCGAAATGTCGTACTGTTGCTGACGGATCGGACGGCGCTGGCCTTCGGTGGTCGTCTCCTTGGGTGCCTCTACGGGCAGATGCTTGTCGTCCATGCCAAACCAGCTCTGCAGCCACGCCTTATTGGTTCCGTTGTTGCCAGATCGCTGCTGGTCAACCCATTGGCCCACAAGGCCAACGACTTCTTCATTGCTCAGCATCTCCCAGAGGCCGTCCGTAGCCATGACTACAAAGTCACCCTTACTAGGCTCAATCTTTGTGGTCGTGATAACAGGTTCGGCGGTGACATAAGGAGGAGTCTTCAACAGTGGGTGAGGGGTCCTTCCGAAAAACTGCTTCTTGATTTTTTCCTGGGTCTCCTTGCTCCACTTATAGAATGCATCTCCAAAGGAACGGCTAGGCTCCAGTTGTCCGAGAATTCTTCCGTTACGCACAACATTCGGTTCGCCTGGGTGTTCCTCCCGCAGACGGTTCATCTCTGAGGGGGTGCCGCCAGTCTGGTCCTCAGAAAGCGGTGTTGCCGTCCATTTTCCCGTAGGTCCACGGCGGCCAAGAACAGCTCTTGAGTCACCAGCACAGGCAACCTTGAGGTCTTTGGACTGCGAGTCATAGAATGCAAGCAGAGCACAGGATCCGGAGAGAGCGGGGGCAAGCAGCTCGGCAGCGGCTCGGCGGGAGTTGGATTTGAGGACCTTATCGACACTACTATGCACGATATCGTTATCAAGGCGGACAAAGGCTTGCTTGATTGCCGCATCCACAGCTTCGGATGATGGGCTAATAAGCGAAGGATTGGTGGCGGCAGCCTTGTAGGTAGTGTTCAGCTCCCGGGCCACGTATGAAATCAGGACATTGCGAAGTTTGGCGGAGGTTGTCCATCCCCTAGCTCAGACGTTAGAATTTGCAGGTATGGGTTGTTAGGCAGCAGCCTTACGAATGACCATCAAACACAGCCCAGAACATCCAATCACTAGTCGACTCGCCTTCGTTCGCCGCAGCTACAGAGGAAGGCACCTCGACAATCTTCTCGGCATGATCATCCTCGATCGGCGAGTTGCTCGGCACCTGGACCACATCGTATCGCACGACACCTTTGCCCCGGTTCACCATAAAAGACTGCTCATTCCTCCTCAACTTCTGTGTCGCCTGTTCAGGCGTCAACATCTCTAGAATTCGGCGGTCGGAATCGTCTGTCTGCTTGTAAAGAGGCTGGTCTCCAGATAGTGTTGCCGTGTAGAACTGGTCATTATCCACGAGGATCGCACGTCTGGTAGATTCCGCGGATTCTTCACCGTGCGCTCCTGAAGATGCGTCTGTAGCTATCGACCGTGTCTGCGATGGGGTTGTCACAGAGCTCTGCGGAGAGTTGCTACCCTGATAAGCGTACCAAGCGCCAGATGCGACGACCGTCGATATCACCGCAAGAGAAAAGTTTCGGAGATGCATCGATGACTGCAAGGTCGCTGGAATGAAGGAGGGATGTCGTCCACGGGAGGAGAGCCGGAGACCTAGAGGCTGATTATGGGAGAACGACACAGCGCACGGTTTCCTAGCGCCGACCTTCCATACTGGTACACGACGGGCAGTACGGAAAGTCTGGAGGGCCAGGCGACGCATTGAACTTGCGGTAACGTTCAGACAATTAAGAAACCGTAGGATCCAGCGAGGCTGGTACGGAAAAGCGGAATGGTGTTTTTGGCCCTGACTGTTGGATCTCCAGAAACATGGAGAGCGGTCCCAGGGGAGATGATAACGTCATGTGATAGATAGCGTATCGTATCGTATGGTAAGGTAATATTGGGTTAACTTGGTAAGGTATCGTACAGCAATCTACGTGGTCCCGCACTAAGCCTAAGCGGGCTGTGTCGTCATGTCTGCGGTCTTCGTTCTTGTCCAAATATCTGCCAGAGATTGATCATTCGAGGATTGATTGCCATCAAAGCATTTTAAGGTTGGATATCACTGGCATAGAGTCTCATCGTCCTCCGCAACTCGACCCTGAATGTCCTCCCGAGCGATTCGCAAGCTGCAGAAGCTTCGCGAACAAGAGTTGCAAAAAGCCCACCTACAAGCGGAGCAAGACAACGATGAGTTGGATGAGTACGAGCCGATAATCCAGCCCTCAAGGCCGAAGCTGAATGCTTTTGATCTTCTCAATGCTGGTGACCATGAGGATGAGGAGCGCGAGTCTGATCACGATATCGAAGAGACGGTGACTCACCCGCCAGAAGATGTCCCTGTCCCCGCAAAATCCGCGGATTCTAGTAAGAAGAAGAAAAAGAAGAACAAGAAGAAAAAGGCGGCGGTGGCAAAGCTTACGGCCACAGGAGGAGCGGCCGGTGCCAAGTCAGACGATGAGCTGGACGAGATCGATCGAGCTCTGAAGGAACTAGCTGTTGAATCCAAGGGTACTGACAGCCAAAAGGCTGCAGCTGTGTCCCCAGAGGATGTCCGCTGCGCATCGTTCCCCAGAACACCAGAAGAGCTGCTTTCGATTGAACCTAAATTCCTCAACGCCATGAACGAGATGCGAAGGTTATTTGGGAATGTGGTATTGGAGAGTTTCGACGAAGAATCTGGGACGGGCCGCAGGAGGGATAGAAATAGGGAAATGGTTGATCTCGGGCGCGCTTTGACTGGTAGGTATAGTCCTGCCAGCAAAGGTCTAAGCCTAGCAGGGACTACGCAGCGGCGGAATGTTCTCATGCAGGGAAAAGATGAGTGGCCACGCGCTCCCAGTGGTGGTTTGGGAATGGAGCTGGTAGAAAAACTACCCAGTGGAGCTACGAAATACCAGATTGTCCACAACTCTGCGTATACAGACGTGCAAAGACAATTTGATATGTGCGTCGAGTCCATGGATCCGCAACGAATGATACACCTGTTGCAATATAACCCGTACCACATCTCTACTCTCCTTCAAGTGTCCGAGATAGCAAAACATCAGGGCGATCATGCCGTTTCCGCTGATCTCCTCGAGCGAGCCCTGTTCAATATCGGGCGCTCGGCTCACTCGTCGTTTGGCAATCGCTTAAAGGAAGGTCAGGCAAAACTCGACTTTGTCCACATGGCAAATCGTGAGCTATGGCTTGTGGGTTGGAGGTATATTGCGAATCTAGGGATGAAAGGAACATGGAGGACAGCATACGAATGGGCTAAGCTACTGCTGGGCCTCAATGATGACGACCCATATTGCATCAGGCTTCT